GGCTTGGGGCTTCTGAGACTGTCAGTCTTTATAGGCGAAGTGTAGCCAGCCTTGCTTTTGTTTTCCGTGGAGGGCCTGGGGGTTTGAATCGCTGCCTTGTGGCTTACAGCCCAATATGTAACCCACACTTGTTCACAGAGGCTTAAGTTAAATGGGTGAGCATTATGTTGATGGAGTCGGGGGTGGGGGGACCCCATCCCTTTGCCTCACTTTACAAAGGGTACTAACCGGAGTCAATAGCACAGCATGTGTAAGTCTCTCCAGTCTAGAGAGAGAGACGCTCCGCCTGGGGGACCTTGTGATCACGACTCTTTGGTGTTCTTGTTGCTCTTGTTTAACTTGCAAACTAATTTTATCTAGATGGTTGGGGTCAGCAGAGGGGAAAGGCTTTTTCTAAAGGTAGGTATGGGGGATGTTTAGGGCAGCCACCAGCTGAGTGAGCCGTAAGCTTGCCTGCTCAGTCCTCCCAGCACCTACTCCATCAGGGCTCAGAATATGCCCCCACAACTTTCCAGTCGAGAAACTACCAAGTCCTGAACGTTCACATACAGCGCAGGCTCCCTTATCTAGGCTGTCTAAAGGTGACCCCAAGCCAGGCTGAGCCAGACTTGGTCCCTAACCCTGCGTGCCACCCCCCCCCTTACTCTTTCCTTGCTTGTTCTTCCTCAGAATTCTGGGCAAACAAAAGAACACTGATTACACATGTAAGTGTTTGCTTTATAAAGTTTTGGAAATAAAGGTGATGATAGTTGTTTAAGAGAAAGCCATTTTAATAATCTAATGTTGGCAGACACCCCCAGGCACCTCTTGTGCTCACTGACATCTGTGAAAATCTGGACCTCTCCGGTAAACACATCCTCCCCTCCATCCTTCCTCTTGCCTCTGAGTTCACCGTGTTTTTTAAAGATAAGCGTTGAACTATAATTTGCGTCATAGACAACGCATCCATTTAAAGTGCGCAACTCAAACTCAGTGGTTTTTACTCTTTTCTGAGCTGTAGACATTCTCATTATCCCAGAGAAACCTCGGACTATTAGTAATCTCTCCCTTCCTCTCACTCCCACTAGCCCTAGCCAACCACCTGGCTGCTTTCTGTCTCCAGGGTCCTGTCTGTTTGGGATGTTGTGGATGAATGGAATCATGCAGTGTCTATCCTTCCATGCCTGGCTTTGCTTTCTCTGCATAATGTTCACCAGGGTTGTAGCATGTATCAGTACCCCATTCTTTTTCACGATTGCATCATGTTTCATTGTGTGGATCTACCACAATGTTTATGTCCAGCCATCCGTTGGTAACACACTTGTGTTGGTTCCACCCTTTGGCTGTTATGTATAACACTGCAGTGAGCATTCACGTACAGGGACACCTTGTTTTGCCGTGTCTGGCTTTGTTGTGTTTTGCAGATACTGCTTTTTTCCCCTTTCAAATGGAAGGTTTGTGTGGCAACCCTGTTGAGCAATTCTTTTTTTCCTGTTGAACAATTCTATCGATACCATATTTCCAGTGGCATGTGGTTACTGCGTGTCTGCACATTTTAGTCATCCTCACAATATTTCAAGTTTTTCGTAATGCTGTTGCGCACTTAGTAGACTATAGTATAGCATAAACATAACTTTTCAATGCACTGGGACACACACACACACACACACACACACACGCACACGCACACGCACGCGCGCAGCTTGCTTTTTTGCAGTGGTCTGGTCCCAAACCTGCAAAGTCTCTGAAGTATGTGTACATACATTTTTGTGGGCATGTGTTCATTTTCATTTCTCTTAGTTAGAAACTTAAGGTAACATGTCTTAGTAATATGCTAGTTCTATGTTTAACACATTGAGGAACTATCAGGCTCTCACATTTATATCCCTATAAGCAATGTATAAAGATTTCAATTTCTATACGTCGTTACCAGCACCTGTTTATTCTAGCCATCCGAGTGGATGTCAAGTAGTTTCTCATTATGGTTTTTATCTCTATTTCTCTAATGACTAATAATGTTGAATACTTTTTCATGTGCTTGTGGGCTACTTGTAGGAGCCCTGGTGACCCAATGGGTTAGGTAGTGGGCTGCTAACCTCAAAGTCAGTGCTTCAAACCCATTAGCCATTAGCCACTCTATGGGAGAAAGGTGAGGCTATCCATGCCCTAAAGATTTAGAGCAGGGGTCCTCAAACCTTTTCAACAGGGGGCCAGTTCAC